CTTGACTCAAACTTGGTCAATATATTATATATCGATGCTTACCTAGAATTCTATAGAATTCTACGTATGGTAGTAACGTAGAATTCTATAGAATTCTATACATTTCCGCTTGACTCAAACTTGGTCAGTATATTATATAGCTATGCTTACCTAGAATCCTATAGAATTCTATAGAATTCTACGTATAGTAGTAGCGTAGAATTCTTTAGATTTCTATACATTGCCGCTTGACTCAAACTTGGTGAATATTTTGTATATCTATGCTAACCTAGAATTCTATAGAATTCTGCATGTAGTACTATCGTAGAATTCTATAGAATTCTATAGAATTCTGCATGTAGTACTATCGTAGAATTCTATAGAATAGCTGAATTGCAAGAACTCGCACATCCCTCCCTGTTCTCCTCTTTGTCCATCAGTTATTCTCTCTTTTTGTGTCTTTTCTTCTTCTTATTATTCTTGTTGTTGTCATTAATTTCTCTGTTTTACGTTGTCGCCGTGTATCGTTTCTATACATGTATTCTAGTGCTGTGCTCAGTTCTCCCTCTATTTATGTTAAGAAGTAATGGGTTCCCCAATTATGCTGTTTTTCCGCTGAAATTCTGTATCCAATCTACAAGGTATTTTGCTCACTTCAGGAGAACGTGGTGTCTTCACATGAAAACTTTCTTGTCTAGGTCACGCGAATAATGCTTTTACCCGCAGAATTATGCTGTTTTCTAGGGGAATTATGTATGGAATCAGGTGTTATGCTCACCTTATGTGAATTTTGTATCTTCTCATAGAAAGTGTCTTGCGTAAGACAATTTTGTAAACTACCTTTTAAGATCATTTGAGTTATTTCGGCACGTAAATTAGTTATAAACATTTCATACATTACATTTTTACATCCTAAAATTAAAAGAACATAACTTTGATCAAAAATAATTAAAAAAATCTACAACTCAGCCAAAGTTTATTTGTGTAATTTAATGCTCTCCATTTATGCAGATGTACACTTGACATATGCCGAGCAAGCGCACCTCCAGTATTTTACTCAATACACATGTGACAGATAACTGCGGTGTGTAGTTGTGTCAGACTAATATTGTTTAATTTTTTACTCTTTGTCTTAGCTTTGACAAAAACAAAAAGGATGAACACTTAGCTACTTTTGTGTTAGTTTCTGAGAAAAAAATGACTGAAAATCAGTTTGGTTGCCGTATTTTGGACAAACAAAAAGAATTAGTTTATTTGTCTGAGTTTTGTACAACAGAAAGCGTCATGTATTCATAAATGCCTTAGCTCATTTTACAAGGGAGGTCCACCAACTTTCTAATCGCTTTTGAGACGAAACCTCGTCTATGATAGATAATCGACCATACTAATTCCGAATATCGGCATGAGACGGGCAGTTAGGCCTACAGAGACCCGTTTTCTGGCAAACCAGTTTTTCAAAAACTCCAAAAAATAACCAAAAGCTTTCTGAATGAGGCATGATTGTAATCCGCAAATTTCTGATTAAAATGAGCCATCTCCCAGCTCTACACGGCTTCTCCTTGCAAAATTATATAATTTACAAGAAAAGCCCTAAATGTTCATTGTCAGCTAAGGCTACAGAAATATGAAAAAAATTAATTTAGAGCTTTTCTTGTAGATTCTATAACTTTGCAAAGAGAAGCCGTGTAGAGCTGGGAGATGGCTCATTTTGATCAAAATTTCATGGGCTACTATCATGCCTTATTTTGGTTATAAAAATGTTTTGTGTTAAAAATGAATAACGCCGAAGTTAAACCTCTAATTATGTCAAAATAACTGCATTTTGTTTAAACATTATTACTGTTTATCTTCTGAGTGCAATAACGCGCTTTTTCAAACGATAATCATCGATATTCATAGCCATTTATCTCAAAAACATAAAAAATCCGTTTAAAAAAACAGACCAGTATCCAGAGCCCTGTAGGTCATGCATAACCTGTCCTAACCTGTCCTGTCCTGCCAGGTTAGGACAGGTTTAGGTTATGACTTCGCAGTTCCGGATAGTTTATAGGTTACGAAAATTTTTACAGGACAGGTTACACGTATACAACTCGCATACTGTAAACTGATATAAGATATGAAAATGAATATTATCTAATTAATGTGATTCTAGTTCGCGAAGTTGGTACAACACGAAATAAATTTTCAGTGAATATTCTCCTCCTTGAATATATAAAAGATCAACATTTAATAAAATATAAATGAGAAGGTTGGCATTAAGGTCATTTTTCATGTCACACGCTTTTGTCGAAAAAATCGCATGGTTGTAATCAACATCGAATTCTGAACAAAACAGTCCATTCAGTTTTTCCCAAAAAAGTTTCATTTCTTTCAAAAACTTTTTGCCTCTGTAGGGGAGAGTATGAAGTAGACTTTCCCTTGGAACATCGAAATTTTTGATATCCTAAATTGCAACGAAAGATACATCATTCAACGCAGAATTTCTCGCTGATTACAAATATCGATTTGATTTAACGATAAACCCTTACTAACATTTACTAAATCACTTTTTTTAACTGATGATATTTTCGACTTGTCGTCGTCAGCTGACTCACTAGCGCGTTTCAAAAATCTGAAACACACTCAGTCGTATTCAGAATTGAGTTTTCTATCTAAACTAAGTCAACATAAAAAACCCGGTTCTGAATTTTTTGCTAGGCCAAAAACTGAAAAAAACGGTGAAAAACACCGCTTTGGAACACTTTGATCTAATATTATGGAAAAACAAAGTTTTGATCCCATGAGTGCAATAAGTGGCTTGACTCAGTTTTTTACGCTCTTTCCGAATATGACCTCAAAATTGGAAAAAAATTGTCGAACATGGTTAAAAACTAAAAATACGTATATATGTTAGGGAACCATGCGATTTTTTCGCCAAAAGCGTGTGACATGAAAAATGACCTCACCGCCACTTCTCCTTTGTGCTTTAAACAGAAAACTTTCACTAATAAGAAAGTCTAAATAGTATTAAAGTAGAATAAACTGTAAAAGAAAGTATATGTACTTTTCATCAGGCCAATGTGGTTAGAACCTTCTTAATTTCATATAGGAATACTCAGAAGATCGCGGCGAGTCGAACCATATTTTTTATTCGTTGAAAATAGCACATGTTTTCATGCGTTTATTCAATGAAGAATAAACTTATACGTGTGTGTCGAAATTCTATATCTTCTTTCTTATTTCAACGCTCCACGGCTTTTTCTGACCTAATTTCGACACTTCCATCGAAATACATAGCGTTTTCATACGCTTTTAAGAAAAAGATGTGAACGGTCTCCCAAAGTCAAAATTATCATATACTGTTGGCACAAAAAATATTCCATGCACTCAGGACTACAACTAGCAAAAGACTGAACCAACAACGATGAAGTTGATCGTTCACTTTCACTTCAAACTCTCTAAACACTGGTCACCATGTAGAAGGTTTTACTCTATCTTAATAACTAAGTAAAGAAACACGAAAAACGAAACCTAAAAATTTAGGGCATGAGACTAACGGGTGGCGCAGAACGAATGACGATTCAGTATTTTCTATTTTTCTCCGAGAAAAATAGAAAATACTGAACCGTCATTCGTTCTGCGCGGTGTTTCTTTAAGATCCTAAGGTTAGTGTTTTCTTTAAAAGATGAGCCGCGAAATACTCTACAGCACCATACCTAACCTTTAATTTCAGAACTTCAATCAAGAAAACTTTGCAAATTATACGAAAGACCAAAAAAAAATGAAAAATTTCCACATTTACCATTTTTTTCGACTTGAACGTTTTTCTTCTGCTATTATTCCCGTGAAAAATTCTAGTGAGAAAGCAATTATTTTATACCTATGAATGTGATCTTTCTCGTGATCTGGGAAACCGTCCAAAAAATATGTATACACCTTCTTTCACAATAGGCCTGATATAGAAAAATTATCTTAACTATGTTAACTGATAAGCCGATGATGTAATGCAGGATAGACGGAGATGGCACTATCATACATCACGGTATATGTTGCCTGACTTAAATTTTTACGCGCTACTCTTAGAGCTGTTAGCTGTTCAACCAAAGCATATTGAAAGCTCGCTCATTTAATGAACTGAACAACTCGCCTTGGGAATACATTGGTTGTTTATTACTCGTATCTAAGTAAAGTTTAGCGTACAGATGGAAGGAAAAAGATGATCAGAGATTGTCAGAATTTATCAGTTCATAGTCGCTAGTGCTCATATATTTAAGCATTTAGTTCTGTTTGGCGTTCTGTTTTATATTGTTGCAGTTGCTGCAATCGTAAGTCACCATGTCGATCTCGTGGTGGTGACATTTCAAAAGATTTTCGACTTTTTCCTAACTTAGAGTTATTCATACTATAGACAAAATAAATAATTATGCCAATTGCTGTCCAAATGCTCCATCTTATTGATGTTTCTTGGATACTGCTATACATTAAAAGAATACAACCTAATATACCAATAATGGGTATAAATAATGTTTTACTTGGAAAGTCAAAATACTTTTGATCTGAAGGACGTGCAACTCGGTCGGTAGAATTGCTGTTTGATGGATTACCACGGTTGGTAAAAAACAAGATGATTACTCCGAGGTGTACCATTAAATAAGCAAATAAACAACCAACTGATGTTAGATCACTCAAAAATTCAATTGGAAGAAACCCACCGAGCAAAGCACACACAATACCTAGAACAGACAATACATGACATCAGACAAAACCTACACAGACTAAACTAAATATAACAATATACCTGTGAAAATTGTGGCTGTAAATGGTGTTTCTCGTATTACAGTAGGAGGAGCTACGTCAGTCGATTGGGTTGAAATACCTGATGGCGAAGCTGTTTCTGGTATGTGACGTTCTTTGCTGAACCAATTTGGCATTAAACCATCTTTAGACATTCGATACAATATTCGTGGTTGTGCAAGCAAATTAACTAGTATCACTGATGTCAAACCACAAATAGCTCCGAGATCAACAAGAATTTCCAGCCATTTCATACCTATTTCTTTTGCAAAGGCTCAGCCATTACCGACATGCAAATAAACAGGAAAGGGAGGAGCTGAAACTGGATACTTAGAGGGACAAGAGGGCGAGACAGGCCGTAGGTTCAGAAAGTCTTTCAGTTTCTACAGAATTTTCCTACACAGTTCAATGGTTTTATTTCTCCAACACAACATAGAGAAAAAATTTCACTTGAACCTACAATGTGGATTAAAACCTCGCCATCAAGCGCTGTGACTGTATGGAGATCATCGTGCACAATGGGCAAGAGCTTTCCGAAAGCCACTCATGACAAGTACAGGGCGGAGAAGTTGGAAAGAGGTGATTTTATTCGGACGATTTTAGTGGATGATCAGTAATTGCTGATACTGGACTCCTAACGGATAGAACCTTATAGGGAGCGACACCAATCAATACCGAAACAACTCCGAGATATAATATAGTTGATATAGCTAATGAAATCAAAATGCTCAGTGGCAAATATAACCTTTTTCTGTTTCTCTTTGTTTCCTGTGCTGCTGTTGTTATTGCATCAAATCCAGTATAAGCAAAGAAAATGATTGTCGTTCCATGAAACATTCCAGTGACACCATATTTCGAACCGCCTTCGTTTCGAGGAATGAATGGACGGTAATTCTTTGGATGAATAAATTTAATTGATGCACATATAAAAATAAGAATAACAACAACTTTAAAAACAACGATGATACTGTTGATAATAGCAGTTGCTCGAAGATCATACAGTAATAAGGCTGACAATGTAAAGACAATAATTAAGGCCGGTAGATTGCAATATGAACCGGTTAAAGAAAGAGATTCTGTTGTCTGATTCCAGCTGATTGGTGCCAGTAAAATTCGTTGTTCAACTTTGATATGAAATATCATCTCAATAAATGACCTGCGGCGATGAGAAATGAAAGAATTATGCTCGGACCAGTATAATTTGCTGCAACATTACCACTCAAAACAAAGATACCAGCACCTTGAAAAAAAACAGATGAAACACTAGTAACGGATTATTTTAGTTTTTCTGATTGTCAGGCGTCCGTAATTAAAAGCTCCAATACTTTTTATTTTTAGCTTAAAGGTACAGCCCTACACAGAGATGTCAGAATATCAGTACGCAGTGTATTCTCAAAAAGACACTATTAGGTTGAGGAAAAAGTTCGTGCGCCGTGTTAAAATAATGATTTTTTATGCATGAATTTATTCAAAAACAACAACTATTCTTCAAAATACAGACCGTCATTGTCTAATTACTACAATGACGGTCTGTATTTTGAAGAATAGTTGTTGTTGTTTTTGAATAAATTCATGCATAAAAAATCATTATTTTAACACGGCGCACGAACTTTTTGCTCAACCTAATATTTCCTGGGCTTGGTGCAGCATGCGAGTGAACCACTATGCAACATGTGCGTATTGTCAACGAGAATACACCAAACCCAGCACATTTTATAGAAATTTATATATTTGCGTATTCTGATATATTCTCACTGAGAATACACTTGCGGGGCTTGGTGTATTTTCAGTGAGAATGCACGAGAATGCATCAAGCCCAGCAAGTTTGAAAAATACAGTCTCTTTTTGAGAATACGCTGCGTACTGATATTCTGACACCCCTCTCCCTACATTCACTTTCTCAAACTAATCACGAATATGTCCTTGCTTTTACGATTCGACTGTACTACCCAATTTTTCATACCTGTCTAGTTTGTTCTGTTAAAACACAGAGCGTTCATTCATATGCCATTCAAATCGCGGTTTGAAGAGCAACAAAAATATGAATCTCTTTTCTTGAAATTCCTGTCTGTTGCTGAACACATTCATTTTTTCTGAATCAACGGCAAAAGAGTCAGAATTCTACTCGTAATTTTCAATCTTCGCCATCACAAATCAACTTTTATACAATACAAATGTTATATTCGGAACCAGTTTTAAAGAAACGAATCGAATGATGTCTACCTCTATCATATCCGACTACCTTAGTTTTTGTGGAATTTTCACGTTGAAAATGTATCGCGATTTTCACCAAAAAATGAAACTTAACTAAAAATTTCGAAATACACACTAGTAAACTGAGTTTTTGATACTGATTCGGCATATGATATTTTTATTGCATAAAAGTTGATCTCTGATGGAGAAGATTGAGAATTACGAGCTCTTTTGATTCTGACTCAGAAAAAATGAATGTTTTCAGCAACGGAAAGGAATTTCAGAAAAAGCGATTCATACTTTTGCTGCTCGTCAAACGGCGATTTGAATGACATACGAATGAAGGTTCTGTATCTTAACATATAAAACTAGACAAGCTTGTAAAATTAGGTAGTACAGCCGGAGTGATACTGTATCATGGATTTTTGGAACGAATATGCAATATGCGCTAAAGCGCTGAACAACATTTCTAGACTCAATTTTATATGAGGAATCCGAAAAACATATTGGTGAGAGCGAAAAGTGGGATGATAAAGAATTAAACATTGTTTTTCCATAAGTAAGCGTTTGGCGGATTTTAGCACCCTCTCAGTATATTGCGTTTTTGCCGCGAAAACTTTGTCAAATCGAAAAAGCAAGGACGTATTCGTGATTAGTGTGAAAAACTGAATGTACGGATGTATGTTAAAGCTAAAAATAAAAAGTACAACTTTTAATCACCGACGCCTTACTTACCAATAATAGCACCCAGTCCGATTGTATTCATGTGAAAAAAATTCAACGGTCCGTCCGAGTTTTCTTTTTGTATCTCGTCTTGCATTTCATCCTGTGTCTTCGTTAAGGTTAGTCGATTCCAGACCTTCTTAACTAATCCTAATACACTGTGGCCGTTTATCATGCAATTTGTTAACTATCTGCCACACGAGATTTGTTTTCAGTTGTTGTAACGTATATCAGAAGCGAATCACCGTGTGGATAATAAAAGCTGGCTGCTTCTCATTAGTGATATACGTTTACAATCATGGTTGAAAAAAAACATAAATAAGATAATCGAAAAACACATATCAGTAAGTTAATCGATTTTAGTCAACCGAAACACATCAGTCAGCTCTTGTGTAGTATAGACAGTAAGAATTTATTCACTTGGTTTTTTCCATTTTCCCAAAGTGAAATGAAAAAAAAAGAGTACCGATGATTTTCTTGTTGTTGAGTTATGGTGGTACTACACACTTACTAGAGGGCGAGTATAGAGGGTACTATACACTTTCACTAGGGTAGACAACACAATATTGGATCGAGATTATTTAATTGGGGATAAGAATATGACACAATTATATACGTTTAATACAGGTAAGTACTGAATTATAAACACAATAAGTAATTTCACGCACAGATAAGATAAAGTACAGACAAAACACTAGTAAAAGTCCAAACTGCCTGTCGCATTAAGAGAACAACATAAGCGGACTTATGACTCGCCAGGAGGATATTCGCCATTTGAATCGAACGTTCGAAGTTTGTTAGATTACATTAACATTGCCATTGTAGCATGCCCTATATTTTTTTCCTCTTGGAAATTAGCGGCAGTTAAGACTGTCGTATAAATCGAATTTTGCATTCGCATGCAAAATAAAACTGTTCTCTTATCCTTCTCGTATTAGCTTCGTTAATATCTTTCTTGCCAACAGACACTGTCCAAAAACAGTTAACACGAGATGCTGATGTAAAGCATTTATGCAAACAACTTACAGTGCTGAACAAATCGCTCAGACGATTAACGGATGTGCAAGTGGAAAGTATTATGAGTATTCGTATAGAATATATATCGTTTGATACAGCTGCAACGGTTGAACAGTTGCGAGACAATAACAACGAGAAGTGATTTGTTTTTTTCCTTTTATTAACCTGACCGGTTTCGAATTCTTCTTCAGAGGTTAACAAAAAACTGTATGAAATGAATAGGAAGGTCTCTTCTTTTATATATACAAAACAAAATTTTTATACATAGATAAAAAATGATGTAATTGAATGGAATGTCTTTCGATGTTCTGGTGAATGATCGATCTGCACATGATAGAATGTACACTTGTTTTCATTCTATTGATATGCCCAGGCGAATAAGACGTATCGTGCATTGGGCAATCCTACCTAGATAACCCAATCCAATACCTAATATACCTAGATACAAGTAAAAAGAAAGTCTTAGTTTTGTAGTTTACTACAAAGCTAAGTTCACAAGTTCGAATCTCTATTCGTACAAAAATTGATTTTGTGTTTTTCGATAGTTTTAGTTTAGAATACTATAATGGAATATTCTTCCGCTTGTATTCTGACAGAATAAAGCTTATAT